GTGTCCAATGGTGACTAAGGCCACGAGGAATTTCCATAAGTAATCGGGGATCAAGGAGATGGGTATTCCTATCTATATAGTCCTTAGCCTCGTGGGAGTCTGCCTCCAGCGGCCAATACTGCGTTTTCTGGTGATTCCTTGATCGGCATGAGCGTAATTGCGGACTCGAACAATTGTCCGAGGCCAAGTGTATATTGTAGTGAGCGTGAGTCACTTTGGAATCGATTTAGTTGTCGTTGCTCGTGAAAAAATAATAGTAATATACTCGGATGCATGATAAAACGTATGCGTATAATATAGGTAGAGCTGCACCACACCCACGCATGTTATACCTACCGAATTATATGTGTCTATTTATAGCTTTAACCGAATCAAACATTCATTCCGGTTATCAGGAGATTTTCGATGTACATCGAAATAAAGAGAAAAAAGAAAAAGGCAGAGGTGACTGAATAATATGTCGATACCATACCTTTATGCGTCACGTATACTTGTAATAGTTTGCGTGTGTTCATTGCACGTAAGGATACTCACCTCACGTCCTCTCGTGTGAACCATATCATTACCCGAGTCAGCAGTAGGCAGCAATTACAGAAAGCTTGTACCAAAATGGTGTACGGTAACACGAGTCGCAGGGCAATTGGGAAGTTAATTGAGAAAAAAAAAAATAGTTACGAATTCAGTACAGCGCTTGAGTGGGGCAAAAAACACTTTTCCATCGCCTTGTACACAGATTTTAAAAAACTCAAACGAACCTGTACATACAAATTTGTTTTTGAGAATCAAGAACCCCCCACGCTCGGGTGATCCATGCATGTATAGTGAAATCGTAAAATTGTTTTCTCGGTCCACCCCAATGCATTGTACCGGAAAATTATACTCCCGTATCCACCTGGCACACCTTGAGCCGAGGAACGCAAGAGGGACAGGAAAAAAAAAGAAAATAAAAAAAATACATTGAGTTTCAGCTTTTTATCTATAGATATATATATATGTACGTATATATAATATATATTATAAACTCCTCGGGATCTCTCCGAGAGTCGAAAATCGGTGCTGCGGTCTCTATATGTAGGTGCAGCCGTCGCGCACCTGCTCCCTTATATTTGTGTATGTATACGTTATAAGTATATATATATATATGTTTCATGTTTCCATCATTCGGCCACGGCATAGGTGTGCGAGAGCAATCGACGACAAAATGCAGAAATGGAAGAGGTAAAAAAATAAATAAATAAAAGGGAACACGGAAAGTTTGCATGCGAGTGAAAGAAAAAAAAGGCCGAATAGGTGTGCACGTGTTGTTCAGACGGTGTGGGTGTACGTATGTAACGCTGACCGCATTTCCCTTAACGACCGTTCGTTCGAAGAAACCCCTACAGAGCTCTAATTCTAACAAACAGTCGGGCTCCCCTTGCCCCGCTCTCCACCTCTCCCGTATGTGTATATACACGAAGCACATACACACAAAAAATGGCATTGAATTTTTGGCAAAACAAAAAAAAAAAAAAAAAAAAAAAANTATATATATATATACATATATATATATATATATATATATATATATATACCTTTTCAAGCTGCGCTTCCGACAATGCTTCGTGTACATGTATATTGTACAGATGATACGAATTTCATCGGTGATGGGTATACGTATATGTATATATATGCGCATCGATTTCGATGCGTCGATGATAGACATGCAGGACTCGAGTGTACAACATGGAGATGAAGGGAGAAAAATGAAACGTCGCTTTGCCTAAAAAGCCTAGAAAGACTAAATATCCATCAGGAATATATATATATTGTTTTAGTCGCGGGGGGAATCCGAGTTTAATTCCTTCTTCCCGCCTCTCGCTCTCTTTTTCGGAAAAAGACGTTGGTGTGGGTGTATATATATACATATAAATATATTTCTTGCTAAGGAAACGTGATTCCTTTCGACCTCGTTCACGCCGACCAGATGCTGCTAAATGTGGTATGCTTGTTGTTTCATTTACGTACATCCAATAACAATATGATGTACATTATAAAACATCATTATTTCGAGTCGAACGTTTCGTCAAACGTACTGACGGATGGGTATATATACCCTGAAATACGTGTAGAGATTGATGTGGTGATGCGCTCTCCTTTTTTTTTTTTTTATCTACTCGAGGTATATTATTTATCGGAATATCGTACAGATGTATATAATATGATATAAAGTATACAGAGGCGTTTTAGAACGCGTACACATTTACCCGCAATCTCGCGTACGCTGTGTATGTATAGTGTACCTACGTATACCGATCTTAAGCATAGATAACGTAAACTTTCATTATCTGAACCGAAAAGGGGGGAAAAAAAAACAAGAAACTGGTTCGTAATCACGGGTTTCGATGTACGTTTATTGAAGAAGAAGACAAAAAATTTGATAAAAATTGTTGATAAATATGCTCTCGCGTGCATGACCGATGATTGACGAACTCTACAGAGAGACCGGGGGGTGGGGGTGTAGGGGCCTCCGAAAATTTTCCCCTCCGCTCGCGTTTGTCGTCGCATTGGCAATCATCGCCCTGCAGACCTCAAGTGTGTATACACAACATTTTCCATCCCCGCAAGATATAAATGAAACTTAACGAGCCCGCAGGCCTTCCACACACACACGCGCACGCAGATGCATACCACTGCTATATATACCTATAAAAAAAAAAGGAGAAAACAGCTCGCTCTCCTCCTCGTCATCACCGGCGTAAGTATATACAATGCAAGCTCGAACAACGAGCGGACGCGTAATTTGTTATTGTTCCTCGTCCTCGCTAATGGCACAGTGGCGTGCGCCCTTCCCGTACATACACCCACACTCGCACACACAAGCCTCAAAAACAATTGGCAATATCGCAACGACAATTACACGATCCCTCGAATCGGGAGACCGTACAAGGCGCAATTGACGTTATAAGAAGGAGCTATACATATACGTCCTTTACATCCCGCGAACCATCGATCGGCGAGTCGCTCCGGTTGGAAAAAATCGCGCGCCGAATAACCTCTGGAATCGACGCGCGCGTTAACGACTTTTTATATATATATACACTCTCCCCCCCCTCCCGACGTCCCCGCCCTCCAATATATATATACGGCGATATACGGCACGTGTTGGAAATAGTATTATTATTTGGGGTGATATGGTGACTAGGTGGTTTTACGGGGAAAAGTCGTTGCCCGGCTCGGAAAGATACAATGAGTTAACTAAAAGCGCCTTAGTTGCCGGAAAATTGAAAATTCGTTTCCGCGAATATGGTATATAGATACACCGTATAATTATATAGTATCGTGTAATCAAGGGTCCGATGAACCATTACCACGTACACGAGCGTAAAAGAAGAGGGGAGGTGGTTTTTGTTGGTATGAAAAAAACAAAAAAAAATATATATATATATACCCACGTGAATATTAATTTTAACGCTTTCGCGCGCGTGTACATAAATATGTACAAGTACACAGTCTAAAAGGGTAGTGGGGGTATTAATTAGGCCCTTTTGGCACGGTGTGCCTTGCATATTACGCAACGAATCGTCGATTGAAATCAAAAGCTGTGGTCAAAGCCGTATGTAGGTAAGGAGGAAGTTTTGAAATGGTCGAAGCTCGGGTCGACGGTGCTCATTAGAGGGAGGTCAAACACAATGCTATTGTACACTCGATAGCGCACCGCGTGCGCGTAACATTTCCGGGGCTCCCCTTGATTCGTGTGTAAGGTCACACAACGTGCGCTAGTTTCGCTCCAAGTATATACTTAGGTACTGAAAAATTCTTCATCGCTGTAAAACCCGACTCTGCCCCGTAAGACTTACAAACGACTTTTGTTGAAAACGGAGTAGAAGGTATATACACGATCCACAACAGTATATAAGGTTGGTTGGTTGGTTGGTTACGGAGCGCTCGCTCGTTCGGCCCCCGAGACTTTATGAATAACAATGCGGGGACTCTGGCGGGGGGGGGGGAGGGGTAGACGAGCGAAATCCGCAATATAGACTCGGACGGCCGAGCTCGACGGGGGTAAGAGGAAAAAAGGGAAAACTCGTTCCTCTCTCTTTCTTTTGCAAAATGCATCGAGCCGCGTCGTACGATGATTTTGCTGTACACATACAGTGGTCTGATTCGGAAAGGTAAAATTATGAGGAGATGATAAGCTTTTGCCCGGAATTGAAGTAATTGTAAATAAATGAAAAATAAGCTCGTAAACGGCGAGAAAAGCAGCCTCGGAGAGAGAGAGAGAGATTCCCCAATATATCTCTTTTTTTTTTTCTCTCTCTCCGTCTCGGTCTCTTTTATAATCGTTTCCAACCATCTCGCTCTCTCTATCTTTTTCAAACACGACGACGACGACGAGGAGGAGGAGGAGGAGGAGGGACTCGTCGTCCGTGCTCTCTGGCACTTTAAAAACTATATACGGAGCCCGGGCACCCCGGTATGCCTGTCCCTGGGCTTCTCTCTCTATCTCTCTTTCTTTCGTTTTTTTTTTCTTTTTTTTTTCTTTTTTTTTTCTTTTTTTTTTCTTTTTTCCCTCGAGGGACTTATAACCGAGGCAGAATGTGTGTGACACTGTGCGGCGGGGCCAATACTCGGGAGAAAAAGAAAGAAAGAGAGCGCACACACACACACAACATGCAGCGGGGCTTTGGAGAGTGCAAGTGGGACGGTCGGTTCGCCGAGCCGTGGAGCCGGCTTACGTAGGATCGAGGCGAGCGAGCATCGGCAGCGGGGCGCCCCGGTGTGTATGTGTGTGCACACTGTGCTCCTATCCTGTGTGTGTATATATAACGTATACACTGGAAATGACGTCCCCCACGCTCGGGATATACCAAGTGCGCCCATATACTGTTGTGGGAGCGAAAGAGAAAGAGCGAGAGACACCTATATATACTGTCTGCCGTTGGCAGAGCAACGTACAGATAGAGAGAGAGAGAGAGAGGAGAGAAAAGCCAGGCGCGAAGACCTCAGTTCTGCCTCGACGCTGGCCGCATCTTCATCGCGAGCGCGTCGCCAACCGGGAGGCACCGACTTTTCGACATATACAGACGTGCACGAGAAAGAAGGACAGAGGACGGGTCTGTCTTGTTGTTTTTTTTTTTTTTTTTTTTCATTTGCCGGCGAGCAGGTTTTTTTTTTTCTTTTTTCGTTTTGTTTCGGGAAACGGGTAAAACGAAAATATCAATTTCTCGTTACTCGACCCCGTGGCAGACCGATTATACGCACATTCGTCCGGCCGCAACGAGGAAGAAGAGCTGTTTTGGTGGTGAATTTGTTCTTTTCGTGCGTTTCAAGAAGATAAAAGAAGAAGAAAAAACCGTTGGTGCGAGTGCGCGAAACCTCGAAGAAAGGGGAAAAAAAAAAAAAAAAAAGTGTGCGTCTACGTCGTATACACGCGGAAGTTGAAGTTAACGAGCGAAAGATTCAAAAAATCCGAAAAAGCTCGCCGGAGCGAAGAGGAGGGGAGGGGATTTCAAAAAGCTCTCCTCCCACCGTCGCGCACGCCTGCGCCGAGATAACCCAACACCCACACAGGATCCCGAAAGCTCCGAGGCTGCAGCTCGCTCCGGAGGAGAGGAGAAACGCCCAGGGAGACGCGAGGGTGTGTGTGCTCTGGACGACGGCGTCGAGGTCCTGAGGTAGTAACGCCGCAAGCTCCATCGTCGGCGTGAAACGAGGCTGCCTCGACCAAAGGGGGAGTAAGGTTACTCGCGTTCGTCGGAGAAGGGCGTAACTTAGCAGCGCACACACGTACGTTACGTGACGGGGAGCCAAGCAGCCGGCGAGCCCTCGGATATTAAAAACTCTTTGGTCCGAGGTGCTCCGTACCGAGCTTTATCATACGCGCGTGGGGGGGCGTAAAAAAAAAAAAAAAAAAAAACACACACACACACTCACCTTGGGCTCTTGTCCGGGTGTGCGTGCGCCTGCCAGCTAATTCGCCCCCAGGCCACGACGTCTCCCTATATCTCCGTACCATCCGTGAGACTCGCAATTTACTTGCTCGCCGTCTCCCTCGGCATTTAAATACCCCACGCACACACGGCCTCGTGCCAGACTGCAGAAATGAGATTCGAGTTCGTGCACATGACACCGAGGCCACGGCCGAGCCAACGTTGAGTCAAAAGCGTCGTTGGGGGGGTCAAAAATAAAAAAAGCCGAGAGAACGTGCGAGAGAGAGGATGACAGCTGCCCGGAGAAGATAGCCGGGGTCATCAGCGTTGCCCGCCCCCCAGGGAGGAGGGTACCACCGGGAGGGAGAAGAGAGGCGGCTCGGATTAACCCGGACGTTGCGCCGCGTCGGCTCCGGCGCGCATCGATCGGCGCCGATCACCCGGCACGGCCTCGCACACCTATATACACACACCCATACGGAGCCGGCCCACCCCCGCAGCCACTGCAGCATCAGCAACATGAATAAGCACGCCAGCTGAGGGATACATATACACACACACACACACACACACACAGAGAGAGAGAGAGACACACATCAGCGTGCCCGCAGGAAATTTTCTTGTCGCGGTCCCAGGAGCCGTCGTCGACATGGCCGCGGCTTGCTACGAGAGGAAGATGGGCGAGGCCTTGATGGCGTGCGCCAAACCAGCTGGCCTCCTCCACGAGTACAACGAGCTCCAGTTGGCCCGTGACTCGGTGCTCAACGCGGTGGCGGTAGCCGCCGCTGCGGCGTCCGTCTCGACGCAACAGCATCAGAGCTCGCCGGTGATGCAGCAGTTGTCCTCCCTGTCGCCGGTCCACGGGCTGAGCGCCCTCGGGCCTGGCAGTTCGTCGGGACCACCGGGTGGTGGTAGCCCGTACAAGGATTACTCCCAGCCCCTGCACGTCGACTGCAGCGTCGAGTACGAGCTGCCCAGCCAAGCCAAGCCTCCGCCGGGCAACGGGGAGCCCCTCCTCATGATACACCCTTGCTACTACCGGCGCGCCGAGCGCGAGAAGCGCACGCTCTTTGTCAACAATCTGCCGCCGAGGGGTAGCTCGACCTCCGCTTCTTCTTCCTCCACCTCGACCTCCACCTCCTCCTCCTCCTCCTCCTCCTCCTCGTCGTCGTCGTCTTCGTCGTTGTCGAATTCGTCGTCGTCGAGGCGAAGTGGCACTAGGAGCCGGGCCATAGCGGCGAGCAACAGTGCGGCCATCACGGGGATGATGGTGAACCCGGTGATGCCGATCGCGGCCGCTGCCATGGCCACGACGACGCAGCAGCAGGTGCCCGGGAGCGCTCCTGTGGCCATAGTCGCCCCGATGCACGTCAATGCAGGCAATAATCCCCTGCTGCCCTCGCCCTCGCTGGCCTCGATCGTCGCCTCGACCGACGTGCACAACGCCCCGGCAGCCGTGGCCGCGGCCGCAGCCGCCACTTACCACGCGGCCCTCACCGCGGCTCTGGGCAATCACCACCCCGGCGAGGCCAAGCAGCAGCAGCTGCCGATGAGCAGCCAGACGGAGCTCGACGAGAAGGTGCTCGCCGCTGCCGGGCTATATCCCCAATACTTTCGGAGCGTGCAGCGGCAACAGCCGCAGGTGCAGCCCCAACAATCGGCCCAGCTGCACCACCACCAGCACAGGTACCAGCCGCAACAAAGCTTGACGGGGCACCACCAACAACAACAACAACAGCAGCAGCAGCAGCAGCAACAACAACAACAACAACAACAACAACAACAACAACAACAGCAGCAGCAGGTTTCGAGTGGTTTGTTGCATCAGAGCGGGTATGCCGGTGCGCAGCAGCAGCAGCAGCAGCAGTCCCAGCCGACGGCGTACGGTATGGCGATGATGGCTCCGCCGTCGCAGAGGCACGTCCACCATCTCCACCACCACCACCCGCAGACGATAGTCGGCTCGACTGCTCCCCCGAACACGATAGTCGGCCACCACCCGTACCGCCGAGCCGGGGCGTCCTCGCTAGCCGGACAACACCGCGTCAAGCACTCGTCCTCGTCGTCGTCCACGTCCTCCTCGTCGTCGTCCGTGTCGTCGTTATCGGCGTCGGCGTCTTCCTCGTTGCTGTCGTCCATGGCCGCCTCGTCCGCCGCCTCGGCCTCCTCGTCGGCCTTGCCCACGGGCTCGGCCTCCTCGTACATGGCCGCCGCCAACGTGTCGAGCGCCTACGCCAACACGATACACAGGCACCACCACCACGCCCTGCAGGCGGCCCACGGGGCCTTCTACGAGGCTCCCGTCTATCACGCCCTCATACCCCAGAGTTGAGCCAACCACGATTTTAGATGCAAGACGAGAGAAGGGAGACAAGAGGACTCGCGCCACCCGGAAGGATCGAGCACCGCCTGATACACCAACTACTATGTAGAACCGCTGGTTGTTTCGTTTTATTTTTTGATTGGTTTTTTTTTTTTGTTTTTTTTCCCCATACACCATACATGCGTTCATGTGAACCATTGCGATCGCCGTATAATTACCATGTACATTAACGATTCCATTGCCATACAGCGATATTGTAATTGCGCGCGCTTTCTTCGTTTCTCCCGTTCGCCAACCAAAGCCCTCGTCGCCGCTATAATATACGTTTCGTATTATGCATGTGCCACCATTGTCTGGTTGCTTTTGACGTACGTGTGTGTGTATACGGTATACTATGGATTCGCGATTATATTTTTTTTTTTCCTCGTCTTTCCCCTGCCCTCCGCGTCAACCTCCTCAACTTCTCCTCTTGCCCGTTAATTGTATATGTATATACCCTCGCAGGGCCAACGCGACACGCGAGCCGCCGAGGCTTCTCCTTCCCGCGACACTACACACACGTATTTTTTTTTTTATACTCGCGCCAACGTTCCCAACACACAATACTCGTCGTTGTTCGCCTATACACACGCGCGCACTCCCTTCCATGTGTATACAAGTAAAAAAAAAAAAAAAAAAAAAAGAAAAGCTCTCGAGCCATGGATTTCGTTGACGCGGGACATCCCTGATGTGACCGACAAACATCGCACGCGCGTGCGACTTGTTTGCGGATGACAACGCGATTGGTTCACACAGAGTTGAACCTTAACGACGTCCAACTTTTCCACGGCCAACGTCATTACGTGCGTCAAACCGCCGGTTGACTCAACTGCGGAGGCCTCGCTCGATACATCGTTATATATAGGGGGATTTCAATCTTTTGACTGATGCCTCGATAGCCCCCCACACCCCTCTTTAATACAAGCGATTAACATTGCCTCATTCCATTTGACTCGAAAGACCCCGTACTTCCCCCCAAATTATTGGGGCAATTAACGTGAACTCGACTCGATCGAAACTCTCTTAATAACAGACTTGAAAACATTAAAGATGCGCATGAAAAAAAAGAATTTGGCTCCGTCTCGATTCGTGTACATGTATATAATATGAAAGTAGCCCGGAGCTTAATTACCCTCTCTCGTTGTTGTGTGTATATCATGCATTAGACACGCGCGATGGTTCCCTCATGTGTGTATACACGGCTGTGGCCGCACCAACATAATATTAGGCACTGATTTCACGGAATAAGTTTGAGGCGGCCCGTCTTTTCTACAACAACCATATTATATCCCTGGCGCTCCCGCAAACACACGCGCATACAACACACATATAATATATGTATGTTCTCTTGCTCGGTTATATGGGTCTCCGCCCTTTTTTTTTTTTTTTCCCTTCCTGCTCTTAGGGACCCCTTCCGCTTAATCTTTTTTTCACTCTTTCACGTCCCCTCTCGCTTGTGCTCTTATTTCGGCCTCGCATCTATATATATATGTATACGTGCAATCTACGTCCCCCCTGCTCGTTGCGACGGAGGCGAATTTATCGGCCAAGACGGAGGAATTAATCGGCTCGAGGGCCGCTGCCGGTCTCTCGGGCGCTATCGGGTTTTAGAATCGCACGGGGCTCCCAAGGAAATTCCGCGGAATTAAGTCTTTCGCGTGCGGTGCGCGCTTACACACACGCAGCAAAAAGGGAGGATTCGATTTCCGAAGAGAGAAAGTCCCGGGGGGGGGAAGGGGGACGCCGGTTTCTCCGCTTTTGTTGCTTCTCCTTGGAATTATTTTCCCTTTTTTTTTTTTTTTTTTTGTCTTGCCCCCCTCCCCTCTTTGGTCTAATACACTCGCTTGAGAAACCAAAAATTACCTTGAATGTGTACCCGAGGGGATGTATGCTTATTGTTTAAAACTGAAAGACGCGCTCACAGTGCTCGTGGATGTGCCCAGCAGCGATGATGGAACAGTATTTAGGTGTGTCGGATGTGTCGCGCTCATGCCATACGGGAAATCTTCCTTCGATACGTGATTTAACGACCCTCTGTATATGAAATGAAAAATCCACCAGTAGATCTAGGCTTGATCCATGTAAAATCTTGGGACATTTTAAAGTAAGCCTCGACGCGTTAATGCTTCAAATCTTTTGGGAGTACCGTAACTATATTTATCCTTGCGTCTGTGCCAACGATTCTTCAAATTAAAAAAGTTCCCAGCAATCGTGCAAGTTCTGATGTTAAATGATACCTAAGTAGAGTCCCTTTTTCGAGACGCTCGTTGTTCGAACAGGTGTCTCTCGCCATGTTTTCTTCATCGGTAGTCCTCGCAATTCCTCCCAAGGGTTCCTCCACGTTTAGTCGAATCGATAACTCCTTTGCTTCGCCGAGCCACTGTTGTAAGCGCGTCGCTAAAATTACGAACGTCCCCTTCGATAATAACTCGGCAATACACGGGAAGTCAACCTATACACTCTTTGCTCGCGCGACCGTAAATTTAGTGTCCAACATCTGGGGCGTTGTGGTCCGACAACCAGTACTGCTTAAATGTATCTTTTTTTTTCCCCCCCTTGTACAAGGACCATTTTGGAAGAACTAAAATTTTAAAAGTTGTCTAGTTGTGAACGTACGAAACGCTGAAGCGGTAAAGTTTAATAACAACAACAAAACAAGGTAGAGGCTCGAGGAAAATGGGAACTGGCAAAAGTCTCGTGGACTTTTTCCAAGTGCGGGCGCGTACGTGATCGCAATCTCTTACCGCTCCCGCTGCGCCACGAAATTTTGCCGAACAGCAACTTTTGTTTCGTTCCAAACATTTTATTCCATTTTTTTTTTTTTTTTTTGTCTTCCATCTTTCCGCACACGCGGACGTTTCGGAAGAGGCAGAGTTATCCGTATGCTGAATAATTTATCGAGTGCTCATCGCGCGGGCTGTACCTATACGAACCGGCCACAGAATCGTGAAAAGCCTCGCTCTTTTGTACTGTATGTATGTATATCGAAGCAAAGTATATATTCGAATTGGCTCGCGAAATACAGTGTCGCCCGCGTCCCTGAGTCGGAAAAATCTAATGTGTATAGGTATACGCGCGAGAAGATACGAAGCTCGAGAAAAGTGAGACCTCACGAGTATAATAGTTACGCGTCCTCTCGGTCCCTCTGAATCGTATACCTCACGCGCGGTACTTACCTCAAATCTGACGACTCGCCTATGCAGCACCAACATACGATACTGCATTATTTTCAATTCCTGCGTGGCCATGAAATTTAACAGCTCCGTGCGTGCGACGAATTTCGCAAAACCCATTTGACGGTGATAATCCCGTCGCGCGTGGTTTGCATCGATCACACCGTGTTCTTTCAATGAAAAAAAAAAAAAAAGAGAAAAAGCTCCTTGCAAGCGAATTAGCTGAAAGGGAAGAAAAGTAAAAGCAAACCAACGTTTACTCGTACAAATTATACATATATATATATACGTAACGCGAATAAATAAAATAGCAGCGAGTCTCGGCCTTAGTTTTTATTTATGTTTAGGTGCTTTATCCTGCAGCTCGTCTTTCGCAGCGGAACCCCGCATCGGTTGAAGTATCGATTTCCACCCCTCCCTGTGTCACCGTCTACACAGCGATCTCAACGTGATATATATACATGGGTAGAGCGTTTACTTAATCATTTCTATAGAGCTCAATTGGTTTATTTAGTAATCACGTGCGCTCATCGATTTTCCTCAACGGAGATAAAAAAAACAAAAAAAAAAGAGCATACACGTACGCGCCCACTCGTGCACGAGACAATACAGTATATAATATAACATCGACTGAAAAAATTTATATATATCTAACGGTGGCAAAACGCGCACGTTTATGAGAATAATTGCACGTTGGCTGTTTAGTTTGAGCCTCCCCCCGTCCTCCCGTTCGCTCTCACGGAAGGGACCGGAAAGCCTCTCTACTGTCGCGTAGCGCTCACCCCCCTATATATACCTCTTGTTCTTGTTTCCTCTTTCGATGCATAGGAGCCGGGAGCGAAATGGGTATATGTAGAAAGGATGGAAGGAAAATAAGCACGGCCGAGCGTGTACTAATCAGCGTGAAACGAAAGACCACGCATAAAAAGTATATTTACAATACATGTAGGAGACACTTGCAGGGATGATCGCGTTTGAGTATTATATATATATATATGGAGGGACGGACAGAGTAATCCGAGGAAGTTGGGGATTTGCAAGAATGATGAGGAAAAAAAACCCCAAGGTGCCCTTGGATTGTTGTCTTGAGTTGCGATGCCGAGTAGAGACAGGACAAAAAGATTTTAGAAAGGACGACTCGCGTTTGGGACAATAGCAGATGTGTAGGATATAGTGGTATGAAAAAAAAAAAAAAAAAAAGTTACTCCGGTCGAGGAGCATTCGGACAATTATACGCGTGCATATATACCAGTGAAAGAGACGAGTTTTTCTATCACAGATGACGGTCATTTTCTGTACACCTTGTTCTGCTTGTGATCGTATATATAAGAGGTACGCCGAGGTTTAGGTGTACGTCAACGGGTTTTGGATGGTTTATTGTACGTATACACGGACGAGACGAGGATAATATTCACGTGACCCTCGTGATTCGTTTACCCTCTTACGTTGCACTTTGTTACATTTCACTCCAAAATTCATCTGAATAGCTGTTGGATCGCTGAAAGGAAAAGTAATTTCGAAAAATCGCCGCGTCTTGGGATCTTCTTGTGATTTCTTTTTTCTCTTTCTTTTTCTCTTAAAATCAAGTACAAGACACCACAGCTGGGACGAACAAAATGAGCCACAAATTATCGCCGCGTACCCAAATGGTAAACTTGTTCGTACGGTCACGTTCCTCTGGAATATTTAATCAATTTTGTTGGACCATGGGCACGTTGTAGGTGATTTTTAGCTTGAAATTCAATACAAACGAGGTTAACTGCAGGCTGAAGTTTGTTCGAGTACTACCGTCTTTTTCTTTCGACCGTGACTGACATAGTATCGTAAGACTTTCTTATTTTTTGCCGATACATGAATGTTAGCAACGAAACGAATAAAAACCGCATGGAAAGAGATAAACGGCGCTGGATAGAGAAAATTGCAAAAAGAGAGAGGAAGGGAGTACTTACAGCGACTATTTGCCCAAAACACCCACGTCCATGCGCGAACGCGTTACCTCGCGTGCACGTACACACGTCAGATAGCGCGCACAGAGGACAGAAGAATAATTTTAGTCTTATCACGCGAATAGATGTATTCATGTAAAATATACGTGAGTTGGGGGGGCACGAGTTTTTCCGAACTGAAATCGTTGATAAATTAGAGTATAGATTCCTGATTTTGAGTTTTCTAGAACTTTTCACTGGAGCCTAAACATTTTGGGAGAGTTATTCCATCTTTTCGGGCTTTGTTGCGCATACTTTACTGGAAAAAAAAAAAAAAAAAATTTCGCGTACAATGGCCTCGTCTTTCTTGCTCTTAGCTAAAAAGCTTTCAACGAAAGTCTTTGTGCCCTACCTACATTATTTCCGAACGTGAACGAGCAATGAACAAACGTGAGAAGAAACGTCCATCTGTTGTCCGTAAGAGTACGCGTGATGAAATACTTTTCGTATGACTTTGCTCATCTCGTCGGCGATGAGCTTATTCCATTGAAAATTTTAAATACCGTTCGTACTTTTGCAATTTCGAATACCCACCTACCAACATTTACGTTTGCATTTTGACTTTTTTTTCCTTCCTTTGAAAAGGTGTTTGTTACAATTTGCTTTTTTTGGGTGATAAAATTCTCAAGAGGGGATTGCTTTTTATTTTTTTTATTTTATTTTTATTTTTTTACCGTCGCGAATTAGAACTTTCTTGAAACCGAGCACTAAAGATACTCGTTATGTGTTTTTTTTTTTTTTTTTTTTTTTTTTTTTTTTTTTTTTTTTTTTTCTTAATGATAATGCTTCACAAGAAAGCGGATTGCGCTTGGTAAACCGATTTTCTTATAACTTTGACGGAGACGGGATCTTTAAACTTGTTGGGAATATGAAATTCTACGCTTGCAGTGAAGCCTCTTGTTTTAAAAGATTGAAAGATTAGTGGGTTCTAGGAAAGGAAAAAAAGTAAAGAGGAAACGAGTAACGCGAAAGGACAGGCACCCGTATCAAATACCAAAATCACCCAACATCACGGTCACACGCGTCTACGCAATAATTATTTTATTTAATATAAAATACCAAAAAGCAACACTGCAACACCAAAATGTACCGTACAAATGAAACTGAAATAAAAATTCAAAAACAGAGAGAGCGAGTATGGATGTGAGGAAGAATAAAAGAGGATATCCGGAAAAGGGGAGCATTCAGGCAAGTGAACACATAGGGCCTATACATACACATGTGCGCGCCAGCGCAAGAGTATACAGACGAGAGGGAAAGAGAGGAAAAAAAATTTTCAAACAGAATGCAAGCATTAAAAAATTATTCAACTCGTTACTTTTTGAAATAACATTGGGAAAAAAGTACTGCTCGTTTAAACTTGTATTTTTTCAGGGATAAGCCCAAATAATATCGAAATTGCTAATAGATATGGTCCACTTTGTTTTCCATATCAAGCAGTAGACAGCCAAACACCGTGTGAAATGGTTATACGTGTATGTAGTTATACACATAGTTAGTCGATGGTTGGAAGACGATCAAATCCAAATTACCGCACGTATGTGTATATGTATCAACGCTACATGTGTGTGTGTGCACCTACACAGCGCTCTCTTCACGCGCCCTCCCTGTTTCGTACATCCGCTCATACCCCCTGGAGATGCAATGCCGTCTCCTGGTAACGTTTATCTCTCTCTCTACAAGCGTGTGTCGGTGTCCACCCGTTTGTCCCTCTCGTATGCGGATAATACACGTATATATGTACTTCCCCTGGATCCTGGGATTCCTGGGTGGATGGCCATTTTGATGTGTGTGCCCGTGCATGAATCTCTCCTTGCAGCATAAATTTGGGCTTTGCTTGAAATTGAGAATCTCGGAACCACACATTATGGAGTTGATACCTACGTGGATAAGTAGGCGTGGGTGTATATATGTTTCCCCTGATATTGTCCATAAAAGATGGGAGGGTGACGACGCGTCAACTCCTCCTTCTTTTCATTGTTTTTCCATCTTTTGCGTATTTCAGAGTCGTCTCCGTGATTATCGTGTTTTTTGTCCATTTTCGACAAAAAGTCTGTCAATCGTTTCGAAATCTCCGATAGACTTGGAAATCTTTCGTTGTCCGAGCGCGTTGGGACACGGCCAATTGTGAATAATCAATACGTGCATCTTTCGATTAATTCATTCTCGCTGGGATGTCGATTTTGTAGTTACGTAGGGAACCACTGTCTTTAACCCGTGTCACCAAAATAAGCCTGTTACGGAGGGCTCCCGCGAAAGGACGGTGTATGAGACACTCGCAGATTCACCAATCGTTACTTCAGTACATCCGATGTAAAGCTCGACAAACTCCCATCCGCCCTGACGCGGCTCCTCCTCCAACGAGTTCCACAAGGGGGAGACGATCACCTCTGCACACCGAGGGCCATGCGACCCGGCATGTTTTTGCGCTCGGCTCCGGAAACACAATACCCCGCTTAAACAAAACCGGACGTTTTCTCGGACTTTTAGAAAATACACGCTCAAATGACGTTCACATGCATATACGTAGGTAGGTATTACATATAGGTATATATTATACTTGCAAGCTCGTTTTTCACCCACCCCCCGCCGCAGCAGCCCACGTAAACATATGGGTACTATATACTCGCTCGGTTTCCATCTCTCCCGTGTGGGTGTATGTATATAACACACCCATCCAACTGAAAAGGTAACTGTTTGCCGGGGGTGGCACAGACTTTACATTTCACTTTTCGTCCATCATGCAACCTACACCGTGCACCAATGCAGAAAGGGATAAACCAGTACACACGCTATATTTATATTCGCGGGGGCTTTTCGGTTCTACTTTGTATAGTACATATACATATATTATATGCTTAGCTGTGTGCGTTGTACTCGTCTCGTGTGTGTGCCCGTTTGAAAAAACGGTTTCCGAGAGGAGGTCTCACGTATGTCTGAAGCTCTATATAAATATAAGGTAGGCTGGCTATTGGCTAGTTTGAGCTTAGGAAGACCTTCGAAAGCGCTGACTGTACCGGTTTTCTCTCCTGAGATCGGGGAGAAACGAGTCCATTACCACACTTAAGAGCCGAGTCGTATATACGTATTACAAATGGATATGTATGGTTGAGGAAAGGCCAATAACAGCATATATGACATGCATTTGTGTGCGCTGGAAAAACTTTTTTTCGGTCCAGCGTGCACCTTTGTATGTTTGTCTTTTTTGAGTACCTACCTACTTTTTTTTTTTTTTTTTTTTTTTTTTTGTTTGTTACATGGAGGGTATAGAGGGGCTCGAAAGGTTTGGAACTTTATGATGCCGAGGGAGGAAATTTTTCGTATTTTTATGCCGTTTTTCTCGGGGGGGAAGAGACTGGTTGTTAGACTCGCAAGGTATAGCGTTTCGTCCAGAGTTTTTACAGTGGCTTTGCATCCATGGCTGTGCAAATGAAGCCGAGAAACAATATTCACTCGTTGCCTATTCAAAGTTCATTACAATAGCCTTGGGACAAAAAATGTGTCGTTGAATTGCAGTAGGAGTACCCTAGTCCCGACGCAACGCTCAAATGAGAATCTAGTACAAGTGCATGGTGGGATGTTATC